CGGTCGCATACAGTTTCGTGTTACGCGTGCGACTCTATTTTACTACGACACTATTGTTTGGTACTTCTACGCATTCAAAATCATAGTTCCAAAAATATTCTAATTTATTTGATACTGAAGATTGTTAAAAGTTTTTTATACAATAATAAAATGTTTCATTCAAGAAAATATTACCATGTAAAACATTATTTAAAAACGTCACGATATCTATGTTTTGTTATTACTCAGTTATTAGAATACTCATAGTGTTAGTAGATGGTTTTAATTTCTATGGCATTTGTCTTCACTAAAATACTTTTCTACAACAGTGTAGTTTCCACTTAAGTTATTTTACGCATGTTACATAACTGACAGTAATAAATTCCAAGACTGCGCCCTGAGATCAGATCTGACTGAGCAGATCTATGTAAGCACAAAAGAAACTTTTAATATAGTATAAACCGTATACATAGACTCTACCGTATACATAGATGAAAATGCCGACAATTTGGCATACCATAAATGAAACATAAACCACATCAGTAGTAGATTGTAGTGGACCAATTAACTTGTAGCTAAACATAGTATTTTTGTTTTGGTACCCCACATACATTTCCTTGTTAAAACTAACAATGGACAACAGAATAAAACTGTGTTACGGGAAAAATAACAGAGTAATAGTTACTACCCGATTAGTGTTTTCTACAATTGTATCGGATGAATGAACCAATGGATAGTTATTTAGACTCAGCGATTGTTCTTAACGTAGTATGTAATTGGAATTGGATCTGCCGTGACCGATGGACACTTTCATTTTTTTGTCGGAAAAATGAAAGTTTGTATTTAATAAAATTGCTTTTAAATATATTTTATAGATGATACTATTAAAGATTAATTGAAGTCAGAAGTTTATAATTTAAATTGCGGTCTTATTATAATAAAACCGAGGGCAAAAGATCGCGCTGTCATTCATCAACAAGAAGGACCGACCAAGTAAAACACTGGTCCCCCAAATTTTACACGATCGTAAGGGACTTGCTTCAGTTAGATAATCTGCCTTCTTCTGTCTGGTGAAGACAGATTATACACTCCAGTTGCAACTCTGATGCTGATCAAGAACCTCAGACATGGGGGACTGACTCCAGAGTGAAATAATAAAAATCATCAGCATGGTATCAACAATAGTCAGGAAAGAAGAAATGTATTTCGACTTCACGCCAAAGACCATCTGGATATTTGTGTTCTTCTTTTCATTCACACCGTTTTAACTACTTCGCTGTCCCTTATGTAATGGAGACGAAATTTAATTGTACCTGGCTATAGATAGAGACCAGACGAGAGAGCTACCATCAGGTAACCTTGGGCAATCATGTCTTTCACCAGTACATGTTCATATATGTTTAGATACACAGCAAGCATCCATTACCTTCAGGCACATAGACTCTTTCTAGTCCAAAGAAAACCTTCCTTGACTCACTGACTGGCTGATTCATCAACCGCTGAGGCTACAAACTTGAAATTTTGACAGCTGATGCTTGTTATGTTGTACTTGTTGTTGATGTTGTTGTTGTTGTTGTTAAAGGATTTTTGAAAATTTCATCCCTAAGGGGACGAACGGTTGTATGGAAGTTCTTCACTTTCAAAATTAGAAATAAGTTAATAAGCAAGTAAAAGCCGGAAATAGCCAGTTAATTATAAAGTATCAAGATTTTAGTAGATCAGGTTGACAGTGCGTAAGTGTTGCCCGGTAGCGAGCGCGTACCGCAGGGTACGCATCTACTGAAATGTCAAAAAACAAAGAATTAGCGTCCTAGAAGTCTTTCTATTTGTTGGTTTTAGATCGGCACTGGCATACCATAGATTTCGTAGAAGTTTGATTTTTATTAAATTTATTTTGCTAACTATTTGACAGAACAGAGATTGCTGCTATTGTGTGAGTTATCTATGACTTTAGAGTCTCCCTAAAAGATGATTTCAAACTTTTTTTATTTTTTTTTGAGTTTATTTAAATAATTTAAAACAAAATTTGACCCTCGTGTTGGCATGAAGATGACAGGTTTAAGCTTAGTCTTTACCTCAACAGGTGTAGTAATAATAAAAAAGAGATCGTCAATAGAAAAAAAAATGGCACTCAGATGAAAATATAACGAGAATATGAACTCTTTTGTCTTTGCTTTTTAAGATAAGATTTACACTCCATAGAGTAAGGATAAATAATTTTGAAGTGCTACAGGCACAATTTATAAAAAATAAAAATATTCCATTTTTAAAATTCGTAACTACATAACAGTTACACAAACATTTTGTTACTGTGCCATATCCAGCCACACTCGGACCTCGTTCACTTGTAGGGCTTCACCCCGGGAGGGTGCCCTCGCTGCTTCATTACATCCACTTAATATGTGTTGGGACAGCCCTGCAACCCCTTTAACTACTTCAACGATTATTTTTGTCAAGAAGCACAAATGACCGTGGGAGAACTATGCTTCGACACAAATGGTCTGACTTCGCCAGAATAATACCACGGTCTCACATAAAGCAATTCTATCTTTATTTTTTACCGAGTGGATAAGGTTACCGGCGCCAGCAGTGCTATTCTCTAAGGATACTAAGTTCGTTTGAACTTCGACGCTACAGCGATGTCACAGCGTCCAATTTCAAACTTAGTTAGTTTGAAGTACAGCAGTACCTACAGTTAGAAGGCAGCGCTGTACGCAAGGTTATGTCCTTAGAGAATAGCAGTGCTGATCCTCCCTCCTTCTAATTGCACTGATTGACTGCCTTGGTAGTGTAGTGGTAGCCCATGCGACCACTGCACTGAGGTTTCGGGTTCGATTCCCGATTATTTTTTTCGAAGTTCAGATGTTTTCTATCTCTGATATGTATGTATTTAGAAAAAAAGTATGTAAGTATTCTATCAGTCAATCAACCTTTCATAGTACAAGCTCTGCTTAGTTTGAAACTAGATGGCGTTGTGTATCAAATGTCCGAAAAAATGTATACTACTAGCTGACCCGCGCAACTTCGTCTGCGTCTCTCAATAGTAATAAATTTTCTCCGTTTTTGAAACATTCTTCATTGGTGCTCCGCTCCTATTGGTCTTAGCGTGATGATATATAGCCTATAGCCTTCCTCGATAAATGGGCTATCTAACACTGAAAGAATTTTTCAAATCGGACCAGTAGTTCCTGAGATTAGCGCGTTCAAACAAACAAACAAACAAACTCTTCAGCTTTATAATATTACTAGCTGACCCGCGCAACTTCGTCTGCGTCTCTCAATAGTAATAAATTTTCTCCGTTTTTGAAACATTCTTCATTGGTGCTCCGCTCCTATTGGTCTTAGCGTGATGATATATAGCCTATAGCCTTCCTCGATAAATGGGCTATCTAACACTGAAAGAATTTTTCAAATCGGACCAGTAGTTCCTGAGATTAGCGGGTTCAAACAAACAAACAAACAAACAAACAAACAAACTCTTCAGCTTTATAATATTAGTATAGATTAGTATTAGTATAGATAAGGAATTTCGGTGGAGGGTACACAAAGTGTGACAACGCACTTGAGACTATTAGTTGCAGTCTTGCAGGTGTCCATAGACGCCGGGAGGCACTTGCCATCAGGTGAACCACCTGCTCATTTGCCGGAAGGAATTAAGGAAAATACATACAGCATAAAGACTACTATTACATTTTATCAGCGGCAGAAAAGCTTTTCTCATTCTTTTTTCGAAATGCCTTCGTAATTCAAGTTCTGTAATAACAGCTGCAAAAGTATAGGACTAATTATTATTTATGGTTAGGTACTTTTTCAAAAATCCGTGTAGTGACGGATTAAGAATACGGAATGTCACCACCCCTATTCATCCCTATGGTGTCGCGTAAGGAAACAAACTGCACAGGACAACAGCACTGCAAAGAGAAGGAATACTTAAAACAAACCCGTCTGGCCGGCGTGGTATAGTAGGCCAAAACCTCCTTTCTAAGGAGAGGCGTATGTCCAGCAGTGGACTATAATAGTTTGTTGATGATTGATGATGACTTTTTCAAACACATTACTTCGAATTTTAGTACCAAGCGAATCATATTGCTAGAAACTATTATATTATAGATGTATCCAGTGCTTTTTATGCGCTGCGCTGAGTGTTGTGGGTTCGATCTACAAATTGTCGTTCTGAGTCTGGGTGTTCTTTGTGTCCGTTTCGGGTATACCTATTTGTAAAGTCCCCTGCGACACAGGATATATTCCTAGTGCAGATGTCTTAAAAAAAAATTAACAGTAACAGAAAGCTTATGTACCTATGTATGACCTAACCTTTGACTACAGTTTATACAATTCCGTAGTACATTATTTTGGACTATCTCGTAAGGATTAACAAGAGTTTGCAATATAAGCGCGCAAAACCATGTTTTTTAAGACAAATCTTTTAAATACTAGGATTTTCTCTACTATAATATGCATGTATTATACATATAAACCTTCCTCTTAGTAGTCTATCGACCGCTTTTTTTAACCGCCAAAAAGTACGCCAAAGCAAAATGAACGCCGATTCTTATTCGATTTTTTGTATTTTTTTACATCGATTAGTATTGTATGCTCATGTTATGGCGCCAACACATTACCATATTTAAATGGCGGTTTAGAGCAGTGTCATTCGCGTTACATATTATTTTTATTGTAAATCGTTATATAGTAAACATTATGTAGTTATTTGCTATATTGATGCAGAGTAAATACACCTATGACAAAAATAATTACCTGATGAAAGCCATGAATGATGTCCTATTATAGGTAAATTACACGAAGAAAAAAAAAACAAATTATTATTATTATCATGACACATTTATTTGTCCATGGTGAGAATCGAACTCAATATCTCTGTCTTGACAGTAAGGATCACTGATCAGACTGAAAAAGGTTCCACAAGGCCTACAAAACCTCAATGAATTTTACACCTTTATGAGAATTAAACACCCTTATCCAGCGTATAATTAATAATATAGGTACATTATCACTTCCAGGCCTCCAGACTATACCAAAGGCATCTTCCAAACTCTCGGCTTCAAAGAGTTCCACGAGTATTTGATGCTATCTGAAGAGGAACGAAACAGCGAAGTAGGAAAGAAATTACTCGAAATCAGTATAGAGAACATGAAAATGGCAACACGCAGGTACGCCCGCCGGCAGAACAAGATGATCAGAGGGAGGTTCTTACAACATCCTACAAGACAAGTAAGTTCATTAAACTAGTACTCACAGGTCAAAATTCCGCTCACGAAATTTATTAAATTATAATTTAATAATTGTTGATATACACTCTGTATTCTTAATCCGTGTGGTGACGGATTAAGAATACAGAGTGTCACCACGCCTATTCATCCCGTGGGTGTCGTAAGAGGCGAGTAAGGGAGCGAAATACGCAGGACACCAGCACTGCAGAGAGAAGGAAAACTTGACACAAACCCTTTTTTTTTTTTTTTTTTTAACGTGTGGAAATCCCCTCGGACCGTCACCCCTCCGGGGTTTGCGGCGGGGTGGTGTGTCGGGCTCGGACCGACTAAAACCACACGGTGTGCCACTCTGCGCCTGTAACAGGAGGGATCCGGGAACAGCTGTTGTTAAGACATCCGGACCCCTCCTAGCGCCAGCCCGCTCCTGGTGCGGGCTCCGTCTCAATGTGGATGTTCCTCTCTTTAGGCGACGTCCGGCACACGCGGACGCCGCCCCCTCGCGGCTGGCCAACTAATGCGGGTGGAGGGGAAACCCACCCCGTCCACCCGCGGCCACACTCAGGGCGGCATGAGGCTGTGGTAGGCGGGCCTCTGCCGCCCGGTTCGCCGGCGGCGGATCGGGTCCGAGTGGAGGTCGTCCTCCCGGGCCCTCTCCGCCGCCTCCTTCCGCGAGATTACTACCTCGCAGAAGGTTGCGACCGCGGTAAAACAACTGTCGCTACCGGCCATGGAGCGTACTACGGCCGGTAGCGAGAGATCCACTCCGATGACTGCAGTGAGGGCCCGGCGCTGCGCCGCCCATGCGGGGCAGACCGCCAGCGTGTGCTGGGCCGAGTCCTCACTGCAGTCGCAGTGGTGGCAGGCGGGACTCAGTTCCCTCCTAGCGACCGTGTGCAGGTACTTTCCGAAGCAACCGTGCCCGGAAAGCACCTGCGTCAGTCGGAAGGAAAGGGTCCCGTGCTGCCGCCCTGCCCACTCGGCGATGACCGGCTGGAGAGCCTCCACGGCGGCGAAGCCAGCGCGTGGAGTCTCCAGCCGGAACGACCAACGAGCCATCGTGGCTCGGCGAGCGGCTTCGCGCCACTCGCGCACATCCTCGGGCGGAGGGCGAAATCCGCTCTCCGCCCGGTAGTCAGCCACTCGCCGATAAACTTCGGCGAGCACTTCCGCCTCCAAATCCCACGGGGGAGTTCCGGCCAACGCGCACGCCACATCCGTCGAAACGGTGCGGTAACCGCGTATGGCTCTGACCGCCATTACCCTCTGAGGGCGCCAGAGGCGTACCCTATTCTGGGCGGTCAGAGCCGCCGCCCACACCGGTGCACCGTACAGTGCCATTGACCGGACAACCCCCGTGTACAGCCGTCTTGTCGCGACGCTGGGTCCACCCATATTGGGCAAAAGTCGCCCTAGGGCAGACGCAGCGCCGACCAGCTTTGGAGCAAGCTGTCGGAAGTGCTCGTCGAAGAGCCACCTCCCGTCGAGGATCAGGCCCAGATATTTCATCTGGGCCCGAACCGGTACGAGGACCGAGTTGACCACGATTGAGGCGCCAGGGGGTGGACCACGACGGGGCCCATGGAATAACAGGGCCTCCGTCTTATCTAGGGCCACCCGTAAGCCCAGCGCCTCAATGCGCCCGACCACCAGGGAGACTCCCCCTGTGGCCAGGCGCGCCGCCTCTTGGAAGTTTGCCCCCCGGGCTGTCACGAGGGTATCGTCTGCGTAACAGATTACACCCAGCCCGGGGGGGAAATCGGCGCGAAGGGCCCAGTCGTACCCTATGTTCCACAAGAGGGGTCCAAGAACAGACCCCTGTGGAACACCGCACGACATGGGCCGACACCTCAGATAACCTTCTCGGTCCTCGTACACGACGGTACGCTCCTCTAAATAGTCTGCCACCAGCCGCCTCAGGTACTTTGGCACCCCATGATAGTGGAGTGCTTCCCTGATGCAGCTGAATGGCAGACTATTGAATGCGTTGGCGATGTCCAGTGACACCGCCAACAGCACGCCGCCACAGCTCACGGCCTCTTCGGTCACGGCCCTCAGGCGCAACACGGCGTCGACTGTCGAACGCCCCGCCCGAAAACCAAACTGGGCGTCCGACAGATCGGGGCCCACCTCGCAGAGGTGCCGGACGATGCGGGCAGAAAGAACCCTCTCAAACAATTTGCCCGCCTCGTCCAGCAGCACGATGGGCCTATAGGCCGCGACCGAATCGGCTGGCCGTCCCGGCTTCCTCAATAGGACCAGCTTCCCGCTTTTCCAGCACTCAGGGAAGCGTCCCGACGCCAAGCTAGCGTCGAACACCTCCCCGAGGCGGTCTGCCATGTGGTTGAGGGCCAGGGCCAGCACTCGGGCCGGTACCCCGTCTGGCCCAGGGGCGGTGTTCTTGGAACGGATCCGTAGAACAGCCGCCCCTACCTCCGAATCCCGGACGGGCGGAACATTGTCCTCCCCGTGCTCCCCGTCGTCTCCGGCCAGGGAGGCCATCGACGGGGGAGTGTGTTCCGCTCGTTGTGGGAAAAGGCCCTCAACCACTTCTCGCAGGAAGCTGGGCTGGAGAGTCTCCGTAAGGGGGGGGCCCGACGCGCGGAGCTTTTGTCGCACCGCGCGGTAAGGGCGACCCCAGGGGTCACGATTAAGACCCTCCAGCATCTCCTGTCTCTTTTCCTCTTTGGCGCGGCTAATGGCCAGCTTCAGAGTTTTCCGCGCCCGCCGGTACTCCTCATGAAGCCGGTCCTCCTCACCGTCTCCACGGTGACGCCGCCGACTGCGTGTGTAGGACCTCCGGGCACGTGTACAGGCCGCACGGAGGTCCGCCAGCTCCTGGGACCACCAGTAGACCTCCTTCCTTGGAGGCCGACGACCTCGAACGCGGGGCATGGCCGCATCGCATACATGCGTAATCGCATCGCGAAAGCGGCCAGCCCCCACGTCGACCTCCTCGGTCGGAGCCTGAGGAGACAGCCACGAGTGAATTATGGCTGCCTCCTCTAGTAGGTCCCGGTTCAGCCTGGCAACAGCCCACCGCGGAAAGCGGGATAAACGCCGCGCCACGTGACCCCTACTGGAGTCCTGGGTCCGGGAGAGCTCAAATCGGATATACAGGTGATCCGAGAGCGTCTCAACCTCTTCCAGGACACGCCAGTTCCTTACTCGTGCGGCGAGGGCAGGGGTAGCGAACGAGAGGTCCACTATCGACCCCCCCTGCTGTCGCACGCACGTGTTGGTGGAGCCTCTGTTTAGAAGACAGAGGCCCACCGAGGCCGCCCACTCCTCTACGGCCTCGCCCCTGGCGTCCGTCCTGGGGGAACCCCACGCAATGGACTTTGCGTTGAAGTCCCCCAGCACAAGGACGTGCCCAGACGCTAGTCGCCGTATCGAGGTCTCCAAGCTGATTAGGAAAACCTCGAAGTCGTTCAAACTCCGGCTGGGGGAGAAATAGACACCATATATGGTGATCCCCCCCCACTCGACGGCAACATATCCAGTGCCCTTGTCTCTTAGCGACAAGGGCGGGGAATGAGCCGTCGTGGAACCGACGACTGCCACGGAGCCGTCCCAGTCACCCATCCAGTTTGGACGGGGAGGGACAGAATAGGGCTCCGCGACTACGGCAACACCTATCGACCACTGTGCCATGGTTTGCAGGAAGAGATCCTGCGCCGCGGCACAGTGGTTCAGGTTCGTCTGGACCAGGAGGTTGGAGACTTGATCCATTACTGGATCGTCTCTACAACCTCCTCCATGGGCGACGACGTCGACGCACGAACTACATCGGAGGCAGCCTGGGTCGACTGGCTAACCCCCGACGTCTGCCGAGAACTGCGGGGAGGCTTGCAGCCTCTCTGCCCCATCTGGTGATTGGCGGGCTTATTGCCCGCCGCACACACTGGGCAGTGAGGGGCGGCAGAGCATTCTGCCGCCTTATGCCCCGGTTGACCGCAGCGGAAACACAGTCCGCCGCAGTCAAAACAACTGTCGCACTTGACGCGCGTGTGTCCCGATGCCAGGCATTTGTAGCATCTCATCGGTCTCGCCGCCAGGACTGTGATCCTGGCGCTCACGAAACCGATGAGCAGCCTGCCGGCGTCGGCCAATACTTTGGCCGACGCTACGGGACAGCTGACCCACACGGCGCCAAGCCCTCCTGGACCGGGGCGGATGGTGCCGACCCTGACGTTGTCCGCGCTGCACCCCGTCTTCTCCCGGATTACAGCGCGGACATCTTCGGCCGTCACTGAGTCGTCCAGGCCCGAGATGCGCAGTTCCGCGCACTTGGTAGGCCTGGCGACCCTGACACCATCTGTGGCTGCAAATATTCCCCGCAGCTTCTCAGCGAAGGAGTCCGCCGTCTTTGCGCCTTCAGCCCCAGGGAACTCGAGAACTCGAGCTCCCGTCTGGGCGAGGCGCATCCTGACCCCCACCGTTCCGAAGTCGTTGGCGAGGCTGTCCCGGGCCTTTTTGAAGACGGCCGCGTAGGACAGCCCGCCGTCCGCCGCCTCCGGGGACACGGTCACCACTACAGCCGCGGTTTTGGGCGGCTGCAGCTTCCGCGGCCTCTTTGTGGAGGCCGTTGCCACCGGTGGCGAAGGCTGGGCCTGGGCTGCTTTTTTGGCAGCCTTTTTGGCCCGCCTTCGGGACTTCTTGGAGCCCCTCGCCTCCTGCCAACCCTCGTTGGAGGGGGCAGGTGCGGAGGGGCCCGGCGGGGGTGTCGGAGTGGGGAGCGGAGGGAATGCCACTCCGCTCCTCGGCGCCGTTTTAGGCCCCGTCTTGGCCGGCGCCTGGGGATGTGCCTTGGCCGGCGCCTTAGCCGGTGCCTTGGCCGGCGCCTGGGCCGGTGCCTTGGCCCCCCTCCTCGGCTTTTGGGGAGCCGATGGAGTCGGGGCAGACGCCGCCGCCGCGTAGGAGACGCGGCCTCCCACTACGGGCAGCGCGGTCGGAGCGGCGGCCTTAGGCCGCTGTGCCGACGCGAGCGGGGGGCGCATACTCGGCGCAGGGGGCAGTCTCGCCTCCAGGCCAGCCAGGCGTCCGTCCAGCATATTCCCAACTGCGATGAGGATTTCTCGCAGTTGGGAGTCAAATGCCCCTGAGTTGGTGGTAGGGGCAGGCTGGGACGCGGACGGGGCTTCCCGCTCGGGGAGGTTCGCCTGGAAGCGGGCGAACTGAGCACTCAGCTCGTTCACCCGCTCCGTCAGCCTCTCGTTGGCCACCTGCAGGCGAGAGACGTCGCCCGCTAGGCCCTCCACGACCTCCGACAAAGCGGAGGAGGAGTCCTTAAGGGCCCTCACAAACGAGCCCTTAAGGTTCACGGATTTGGTGGCCACCTTGTCGATGACGGCCACCGCCGCTTTCGCCCTCTCCTGCACGGACACGGGAGCCTGGGGGGCATTTCCCCCCACCGGCTCCCGAACCTTGAGCAGGAGATCCGCGATCTCCTCCTCCGCTACGGCCTCGCCGTCCACCCGTACGCTCCTGTACGACTCCGCGTTGGAGAACGCGGAGCCTGACGGGATCGCGACCGAGGCCGGTTTGCGCGCCCTCCCTCGGCGGCTGCTTGCCACCTTTGGTGGCATCATTTCGCCGGACGTGTCGGATTCCACGTCCCCTGAGCGTCCGCGTTTCCGGCTGTCGCTCCGCTCCGCTTCCATGGCCTCCGCGCCATCCGATGAAGCGGCGGATCCGGAACGCAGCCGATCCGATGCTCTTCGGCTCCCAGTGACCAGAGTCAGACTGACCTCTGGGAGCCCCATCGAGATAGGCGTTCCCGACACCATCTCGCCCTCAGTGGACGACCCATCCGCTCCACTGTTCTTCTTCTCCTTCCTCGTTGCCGTGTCCGTTTGACTTGCCTTTTTCGTTTTCGTTTGTTTTCCGATCGGTTTCTGTATGTTTTTATTAATATGCTCCATAATAAATCCCACGAGTGGGGGAGAACTAAAGGTCCACCCGGGCAGAGATCCCCCATTACCCGGGCAAGCGTAAGTTTTTAACCCAACCGAGGGGTCCGCAGGTACCTCGGCTTGGAGTGCGCTCGCGACTGAACTTCCCATCAGCCATGCATCCCCTGGCCACGCACCAGAACACGGGATTCGGGGAATTTTTTAGAGAGGTTATCTTCCTCGCGGTCCGGGCGGTTAAGCCAAGACCCTCGCCCCCAATCAGAGCCGCGAGACTTAACCACAGCGCTCTTCTCGGGATTGCGATATGCCGACGGTTGACAGGGAGACTACGTCCCCCTGCCTGCTCGGTGGTAGTGTGAGTACACGCCGAGCCCGTCCTCCTTTCTCCACCGCTGTCAGCGGAGAAAACTGTGGCCCCTACAGGGCCCCGCCATCAGGTTTTTTACCGAGGTTTTCCTCCTCCATGCTCCGAAGAGCGAAGAGCCAGCAGGGCAACCGGCAGACACGCCCACCCTGCTGGACCAGGCCTTGCCCGAGAGCCGATGAACGGCTGCCTCTTCTGCTAGAATATTGGCCGCTGGCGATAATCCTCTCCTCCAAGAGGACAAGGAGGGAACAGTACCATCGCCAGCGTTTCCAGGGTGCACCACGAGGAGGTTTTCTAGCCCAGCACCCCACACAAACCCTATACCAACCCGTCTGGCCAGCGTGGTATAATAGGCCAAAACCTCCTTTCTAAGGAGTCTATGTCCAGCAGTGGACTGTTAAAGGCTGTTGATGATGATGATGAATTGTTGATAAAAATACAGGTCCGTCCAAGACAGGAATTAGTTGATAAATAGTGGATAAAAAAAATTGCAATTTATAACTAATTTATACACAAACGCCTATATCCCAAAGGGGAAAGTAACGCTTAGTGAACGCCCGCATCTTGCTTACTATAATTTAGTCCCTCTTACGTTATATAGGGCGAATGTATGGCTGTCAACCAGGATCTTTAAGGATTTAATAGGAACGAGTCTGTGGCAATCGTTACGGGTAGTTTGAGCCCTAAATAGTCCGACAACAGTCTATCTACAGAACTTCGACTTGAGTTGTGGAGGTCTGAGGGCTGAGTGCAAGTTCATTTCAAATCGACTTGCTCTCTATTTGATTGGTGGATATTTCAGTGAGGGCCAATCGACGATCGAGTAGAAGTGAAATAAAATCGCACTTGGCCCGCTGATGGCAGTCGCTCATCATACAAATTTAGCCTTGTTGTAGTAGACTGACAGGCGACCCAACCTAGTTTGGTAAAGGTCTTGGAGGATGATGAGAACGATTGTTTTTTTTTTTTGTTTTTTTTAAAAGACAACTCCCGCATTAGGAATAAATCCTATGTCGCGGGGGACTTTACAAACATACATGAAACGGACACAAAGAACACCCAGACTCAGAACAACAATTTGTGGATCACACAAAGTGTCGTCTCATGTGGGGTTTGAACCCACAACACTCGGCGTAGTAGGAAGCGGCGTGGCGACCGCTTAAACCACTACGCCATCCGTGCAGTCAAGTCAGTCAACGATAGATACTTATACAAATAACATGTATGTTTATATAAATTTGTAAAATTAAAAATTTGTATATTTAATGTATCACAGAAACAGCCATAACGATTTACATCATTTTTTTGTATTTAGATAAGGTTCGGGTCTTTAAGATTACCGATATCACAGATAAGATAATATTTACTGCGTAATAGACACACACATACCTACAAAAGAAGCGAAATACCTACACTATATTAACCTACAAAATTTTAATAATAATAATATGTGGCTGTAGCTGCAACCAGAAATATATCTTAAACATTAGAGATAAAGTTGAGAATGCTAAATGCCCACCGCGTGACTGTAATGTGTGTGCGTCTCTAGGGTTGTACAAAGGTGATTAAAAAAAGGAAAAATATTTATTTTATTGATAAATAAATATACGAGTGTTGAGGTTTATAAAATGAGCGATAGTTTTGTTTCGTCTCTGCAATTTAATAGATTATCCGAGGGTAGATACTAAATACTTTTAAAATTGATGTGAATAGACAAATATTTTTAACGACCACAGTACTTTATCACAGATTTCTCAATACAATTAAAGATAAGTGCTTCTGAAAATATAAATAAATATTCATTATGTTCATAGATTTTGTTTTTGTGTATAATGTAACTGACTACGCTTACAAAATATGTTCTAATTAATCACTCGTTCACTGGTCTATTAACTTAAAAACAATGCAATATTTATTATTGTATTCGTATATATATTATGATTTCACTGATTTTAAATTTTAAATTAGTTATAAATTTAGAAATTTTTGTCGGGAACGTACTAAGTAATCCCTTTTTAACACTTTATGCCAGGATATTAATATGGTATTTTGAAGACCCCCAGCCCTGAATAGGTCACGTAATATGAGTACTTTATCTCAGTGTATTTTGTAATATCAAATTGTAATAAACATAAATCAAGTGGGAACTTAGTACAATAGGTAGTTTTCCGTCTCCTATACTTTATAGGCGATAGATCAAATAAGGCGATATTTAAATATTGCTTGTTATTTGTTTATTGCTCATACATTTTATGTTTTGTGCGTAATAAAAATGAACGTTCATATGGAAAGGAGGATTTATTCTGATATTCTCTAATCTACATATAACAGACACACAGATATGTAGATATATATTATAACGATCCCACATATGTATTATAAATTCTGTGACATTCGATTTCATCTATTTCACGCAATAATAATTCAGATTTTTTTTAGTTTTTATTCATAATCTTTAATCAAATATTAGTTTTTTTTTCTTACAGCCAATTAAATCAGCTGTGAGCCTAAATAGGGCTGATAATTTAATTAGATAGTTCGCTCGCTATTGATATTATGATATACAAACTCGCTCGCAGGACAAATGCTAGTTGCAGAACAAACTTTTAAAAAAGTGTGACTGTTCAGGTTTTTGTATGCTAGTCTCTGATTAAAGCAAAGACCTCTAGTGTCGAGTAGCGTTACTTGTATTGAGAGGACTGTTTAATTTACATTAAAAGCGCCATCTACAAGGTAATAGTAGTAATAATAGTATATTATTATGGTTGTCTTATAGATGGCGCTTTTACCTATTTTACTGGCAGTTATTTGTTTGGAAATAATAGATGGCGCATGAATATTCCCAAATAGACATACTACGTTGTAGTACATAAATATCATGTTTTTTTTCTTTTTCAGATTCCACCAATTTATGAACTAGATACTACAGATGTTTCCAGATGGGATGAACTGGTTAAAAGTAAAGCTATAGAAATTATTGAAAGTTTTCTAAATGAATCTCCTTGTCCAATTGAACCACTGAAGTCTGAAATTAGTGAAGAAAAGCGAAATATCGACGGCAACTCCTACAATTACTGTGATGTATGTAACAGAGTTCTGTTAGGTGATGATATCTATGCCATTCATCTTAAATCTTTCAGGCATATGAGAGTGCTAAAGAAAAAGAAGCGCCTTGAGAAGAAATCCAAAAACGCAGAAGAGTCATTGAAGTGTGATTAATGAAACTTTTTTGTAACTTATAGTGATGAAATAAAAAGATAAAAATATTTTTTTGGTTTTATTTATTAAATATAACTATTATATACAATCTAAACTGAATCAACTAAGTATAAATTAAATAACAACTTGTTCCTCTGCCGTTGCATCTTCCTCTATTTTCTGGTTATTTTTTGGTGCTCTGTAATCATAATGTTCTAATTCAGGATACTCCTTTACAATTTCAGCATAGGCATCAACAATCCTAGCAAACTCTGCATTAGCAATCTGAAAAGGTCTAGTTACAGGATCAATGTCAGCCATCTTATACATTCTCAATGCCATTTCTTCTCTAACTTCTGGAGGAAACAAAGTTTGAGCACCTCTTATAGAATATTTCTGTCTCATGGAAAATATTTGTCTAACAACTTTCTCAACCATTTTAAATGGCTGTTTTATTATTGGGGTTTTCAAAGGGGTCAGTGTCACCACCCCAACATCAACATCTGGTTTGGGTAAAAATGATGCACCGGAAATATCAAATTTATATTTGACACTGCACCAATTCTGACACATAACAGACAAACGGCATCGTTGGTGGTCCAATATACGTGCTGCCATCCTCTCTGCAACTTCTTTTTGAAATGTGAGTGTCATTCTTGTTCGGCCCAAGATCCAAGGACCCTCCTGTTTGGACATCATCTCTAACCAGCGAATTATCAGTATGGTAGAGACACTAAATGGCAAATTGCCAATCAAATGCAGCGGTGGTGGTGAATCATGCCACTCTGTTTTAATATCACTAGGAACATACTGGGCAATGTCAGTCTTCAAAATATCACCAGGTATGATATCCAAATCAACTTTATCTCTGCATGCGTCTGCTAGTAATTCCAGTGAAGGTATGAAGCGGGGATCTTTCTCTATCAAAATTACTTTTCTAGGAGCTCTCTGGATGATGGATCTTGTAATTCCTCCTGGCCCAGGTCCTACTTCACAGACGACGTGGTTCTCAAGATTACCCGCTGCATTAACAATCTTGTCTATTAGACGTGGTTCCATGAGGAAATTTTGTGACAACTCTCGCAGAGCACGAAGCTTATATAGTCGAATAATATCTTTTATACTAGGCAGAGGAGGCAATCTTAACTTTAAGGAGTGCTTAGTTGCAGCCATGTTTTAAGGTTGCTGCACTTTTACAGGCTCGTTGAAATCGTCCAAAAACGTTTCTTGCTTGACAGCGAAAATAGAGTACAGATAAATGCCGAGAACTCCGGTACCGATAGCCAAACCAGTTATTCTATTTCTTTTGGAAATTATGTTTAGCTTTTGAACACGTTCACGGTTTTTTTCCTCAATCAGCTTCATATAAGCTTTCTCGGCCTCCTTCAGCACTGGGTCTTGAGCTGTACGGCTGATTTTTGGTTTAAAAGTAGAGTCGCCCATTACGGAAAACAAAATCTCCCAACCTAACCTCAAACTTCAATTCAATAAACCAATTCACAGGAGAATGGGACTGAATGGAATAAATACCATAGACTATGTTGACCACAGACTATAAGATGCTAAATAATTGAATGATTGGCAGTCTTACATCTTAACCTAATAATTTTCGCGAAAGTGTACCTATCGCGAAAATTACAGCACAATTTACGAAATTGTTAACTGACTGACTTATTTTGTACTTTAAACATCCAAGCGCTCAAACTCTTTTCTACATAACCTTAGAAACTTCGTAATTAGTAATTAGCACATCAAATAGATGCCAAGTGAAAATAAAAGTTTTAAAACGTTGAAAGTTTTGTAAATATTTAGTAGGCTAAAAAGTGTAAAAACATTAATATTAAATAAACAACAGCTGTTTATGTCATTTGATTTATCAACAAAACAAAAGCCATTCGCGCAGCTATCCTTTTCTAAACAATACTTCTCTTTCACACTCCAGTTTTTGCATGCCGTTTGGATCTCCCCACTTCTCGTGTCATACAATAATCGTCAGACGTCAAATCGCGGTTCGCTTTGCAGGCGAATACTTGTGCGACTAGTGTTTCGCTTCGCACTAATCGCGTTAAACTTTGTTGTGTTGTGTTAACAATGCCGTTTATTTCTAAAGACTGGCGTTCACCTGGTGAGGAATGGGTTAAAACTCAAGAGGGATGGGAAAAGAAGAAATCATTAGAGTGTACAGCTCAGAGGTAAGTGGTGTTGCAAAATAAACACAATCCTTTGTTCGCATTTAGTACGCAATGAAATAACACGGCCAATCTAGTTCACTAATTTTAAAGAAACGTAACATTTAGTTGGCTAATAACAATTATAGTGCTTGATTTTCGTGTAATGTAAGTGCACTTTACCATGATAGTTAAAAAGCAATTTTGTATTGCAGATATGCCGCTATAACTAACTATAATAACACTGACGATAGTCAACAGACATCTTGGTAAGTGTTTGCTTCAAAATTTACGTAAAACTACGTTTGAGATCAGCTGTTGTATGTTTTTGTAGGCTGTTATTGATTTTCCTGCGGCTGTGTATAAGTCCTTAGCCTAGTTTTGTTAACAGTTGTAGAACGAAATGAGAAGAAGTGTTACCTTTTATGCCATGTAGAATAGATATATAGATGTATAGCTATGTAGGTATAAGTGTAAGTAAGACGTGAAAATGTTAAGTATAAAAACAGTACCAATACATTTAATTTGAATGTTTAAACTGAAACAGAATGTTATGTGCGTATATTGGTACATTGTATGGATATGTCGTCGACCCCTCGATGCTTACAGGATGAAAGTTACAAGAAATACCTATGTAAATTTACATTGTGCAATATTTTTCTTAGAAGGAAAAAAAACAGTTAAATGACAACTAACATCGACTCACACACACCTCTAATGACTACATTATGTTTTATGATTTATTTATAGGGTTTTTATATTTTTTAATATTGAATTAAACTAAGGGCTTTACCAAGTACCTAGGTACAGTAGCCAAAACATCGCAACCTACATCTATCAAGTTAATTATAGGTATTTAAATAATTTAAGAAGTAGGTTGGTATGATGATACATTAAATTCCACATTTGAAATCAGATTGTTCGTTTAGAAATCGTATTTATACCAAAGAGCTAAATTAATTTCACGAGACAGAAACTTCATATTTCTCTATGAAAACGTTCCTAGACTTATGGGTATTCTATAGGTACTAACATTACCTATAAATCTGAAGAGTTTGTTTAGTTGAACGCGCTAATCTCGGGAACTACTGGCTCGAAATAAATAAATCATAGTGTTGGATCATCAACAGCCTATAATAGTCCACTGCTGGACATAGGCTTCTTTTTAGAAAGGAGGTTTTGGCCTACTATGCAACGCTGGCCATACGGGTTGATATAGGGTTTGTTTCAAATTTTCCTTTGTTTTGCAGTGGTGTTGCAGACCTGCGTAGTTTGCCCCATTAGTCGGCTGTTACGACAACCACGGAATAAATAGGGAAGGTTAAATTCCGTATTTTTAATCCGTCACCACAAGGATATTCCACAACCTCCATACACATACAGATTTATTAACAGCAACATGAAATTATTCAACAGCTCTATGTTTTACGTTACTTAAAAGCGATCTTCTATTTATGTAAAGATGAAGAATGAAAAAACTTATATTTTGCCTTTTCTATCCTAGAGATCTAATAAAAAAATACTTGTTGACTTTGTATATTATACCACTTTTATTGTTGTTATTGTCCTTTTTGAAACCTTTAACATTTACACTTATTACAATTAGGATGTCTCGAAAGTAAAAATAAACTATAAAATACCAAGAGATATTCGAAAATATGTCACATTATCGACTTTTACACGCCGGACGTATTCTTATTATAACCCAAAGAAAAACTTGGGAAATTGTCTATAGATCTGACCTCAAACTACATGGATAATTATATTTTTATAAAACTCATAGATCAAAGATTAAATGTTGGTTATGGTTATTTTATCTTAAGAAATAACGCGAACTTCTCTAGTTTTTTTTTTACAAACCAGTGCCTGTTGCTTTGTTGATAAAAATTATTCACATATACAAAAGTAAAACTCTGAACTCTTTTGATTGATTATTTTTGTTAAAGTTTTCTATGACTTGACACTACTTTTACTGTGTTATAAATTGATGTAAAATTACTCCAAAGCCAAAGTAACTTTGTATCAGTTTGTTTGTTACATCTCGGGATTCGCACATAATTTAAATATTTTTTTAATTTTCCTTTTATTTACGTGTAAAGATCATTTAAAACATTATCACTGTATGTGTCATTCCATAAGAATGTCATGTCATCATAGAATTCTTTCATAAGTGGTCCAATGTTACCCAGTATTATTGTACTCTAGCTATCTATATATATATATATTTATTATTAAATACAACAAGATGTAACAACTAAAACATCGGATGATCGCGTCTGTCCGCATTTTGATTACGAACGGAAAATCGTGACAAACAAAAAATTTTTCGTTATGTAGGCCAGCCTGAAACCACTCCAGGTCAAACCACTCGTCGGAAAAATTTCTATTCAATATGAAGCCAATCTGTCCGTTACACAAATATTGTAGTTCATTTCTTTTATTGTTTTACGTCGACGCGTTCGGCCTGTTTGTGACACGTTGATTAATAGCGTTTTTTTACTTTGTTACAAAGTTATCATTTAGGTACTGATTTATGATCAACACATGGTAGGAAAAAATAAAAACAAATTAAAATTATCAGCATTGGTCATCCTTAAAAGTAAGGGAGCAAGTTAGTTATAGGTCCAAACAGATATAATATTGAATAAAAAAAAGAAAAACATTCAGATTTACCTTTTAAAAGGCCCTCCTCTCCCACGTTTGCTACGGCTGACTCAAAACCTCTCAAAACATGTCCCAACAGGAAAGAGGATGCTTATTTTTAAAAGATTTAATTTGAAATCGAGACTTTGAAGAGTCCTTTGATGATATACATTCCGTAGGAGTTCATTTATAGCTTGTTTATACTTGTAAATTAATATGACACAGGCGGTGTTAATTTTGATGACGTTTTTAATTAAAATCAAACTGTTTTCGGTTAATATTATTTCAGCTTTTACTTCACGTACGCTTATATTAAAAATAAATTATGCTGAAATTGAATATTTAAACTGGGACATAAAACATGTTATGAATTCGGGTTTAAGAAACGTTATGTTATTAATTATTTTGATATATTGTGAAGTTGTATTTAATTACAAAGAAACAGTTCTTTGTAATTAAATACAACTTCACAATATATCAAAATAATCGTCGACAAGCAGTGTGGTTATGGTACAAAAAAAATTGAAAATAGTCTATACCCATCCAATTTGCATTAATGTCAGAAATTAACTTGCCGAATTACGAGTATATACTTGCTTTATTGGCTCACGCGTTTGAAGTGAGGAAACTGTGTAGAAAGCAAAAAGTAACATAATTTTATTCTGTTGTTGAACGAAGAGCGCTGTTTTAATAAGTAAAATATGTTATTTTATAAAAGATTCCCGTGACAAATGGCGTCTGCCGTCTCTGCCCACTGCGGACGGGGATGGAACGATTTATAGGTACCCAGAAAAACCCTAAAATAAAAAATAAAAACTGTCAAACTACGTCACGTGCTGAAACCAACTTCAAAACAGGGCTTTTGATTCATATCGAAACGTCAACCAATCAATATGTACCCTTACATATAGAACCTTTTTTTTTCTTTATTTACGGAGCTTAGCAACAATGATGACTACGTCGCTGCACATATAGAACCTTAATAATTATAATCTGTGACGTAACTAGTCGCTTTGCTATTTTACATTCATTGACTGTAAGAATGCATATCTTTTGTTTACTTCTAATACTAACAATTGTTTGAACACAGCATTCATAGTCTAAGATTACAGATAGGTATTACCCACTTCTCAGCTTTTACTATTATTTAACTGTTGTCTTTTATTAATTGTAAATATAACCATATATAATCTTCTGTAGATCGTTTTCCAATTGACGCACAAATATACTCAAGAATAATTTCTCTTAAATTGGTTTAAGAATATGAAGTGTAGAGGTGATGAGTACCGTGTCTTTGTATCAAGAGTCCGCCGAAATGCTTCAAGTAAGGTTAGCGATACAGTGGCAGCAGGAAACAAAACTTATTGGATGGTAGAGAAAGGAACAAAGAAAAAAAAAGGTTTTGAAACCTTTTAATTGGCTTACAAAACTATTCGCTAATTTCAATTTAATTGCGATAGCACTCATAAAACAGATTTAACAGGCAATATGAACCAGAAATGATGTGTATATAAAGTAGGCATACTTGTGGAATCCAGGTATCCCCGTCGCTCGCCAAGACTGCTTAGTGCTTTAGGTAGGTGACACCGTGTGTAAAAAAACAGTGGCGACAGAAGTAAAAATTTGAATTTTTGATTAAAACATTTTTTTTTGTTTTTTTTTCGATTTTAAAAGTTCTAATACACGATAAATGTTTATATCATATTAAGTGCTAAAAATGAAGCCTTTAAAACCATAAAGAATAGCTGGAGTAAGACCGACTTAGACGGTTGTACGAAAACCTTTGTGTTGCCTACCTTGGTAAGGTTATTTTATGCCTATAACGCTGTAAATATATTAACCACGGTAATTTATTTTTGTTAATAAGATATTATTAAATAAAATATTTATTACCAATATCGTATTTACTACCTTTGTTTAATCATAAACGTTCCAAAGGGACCCAAAAATCGACTTCTGCGCAGCTGAAGGTCAGAAATCAAGATTGATGCCGGTTCAGCTCCATTTAAATACTGGGTTATAACAAGTCAACCATTAGAAAGTAGCACAGTGCGTTCAGTCTGTTTATGCTTAAAGACCTTTGAGGTAGATTATTACACAGATTTATATTTTGTCATAATTTCAGTACACTTATCTATGGTACTTTGCATGAACTTCGATTTTTAAAAACAGGACCAACCTCTTTTCGTTTGAATGTCATAAGTAATTTGTTTATTTCGTTTGCAATCGAAAATACTATGTAGGTAGTTTGACTTTTAGTAGTAATACTTAGTTGTACGAAATCTTTTATGTGTTACCCACCATGGTAAAGTTATTTAATGTATATAACGCAGTAAACATTAACCACGAAACACCAACTACGATGTTTATCAAACTATATTTAAAAATTATTCAATTGAAACTTGTAAGCTACTTGTAAAATGTTAAACTCCAAATTCATTTCTCATAAAAACTCATAAAACTACTGTTATCATAAAGTTGCATAAGAATATTGAATGTAGAACACACAATTTATGACTCACTACGATGTTTGGCTAGCAGCCAGCTTACAGATTTTTCTCGGAATAAGCTCAAATTTTAATTACTACTTTCAAATGTTCGAGTATTTTCGAACACAGTTTATTTT